TCACGCATTCCTCATAGCTAAGCTCACGTTCCAATTTTTCTACAAACTTACCACTTACAAGTGATCCTCTGACTTATAATTCCTGATTACCACCTGTCTTGTGGCATATACAATTCCTAATGGCTTCAGCTGACAAGAATGAGATGAGTGGTGAGACCAGCCAACGAACAGTGATAAGAAAATATCTGGGCTGATTCATGATACAGAGAAATAGGCTTCTGAATCAAACAACAATTTTGGCTAAGACATTTTTCTACCTTAAAAGATTTAAGAATCAGCATAGTAAGACAGAAAAGGAAGATTATTGGCAACACATCCAAGTTCAGAAGAAAGCTGAAAGCTGTTTTATAGAAGTGGCTTATAGAATAGACTTGACCATCATTCTGGGGCCAGTTAGGTTGTATTTTGGTGGTTGCCTCTACCCAGCACATAATGCTCTCTTTTTCTGAAGAATTAGAACACTTATAGCCTGAACCATTCCTTTATTTATTCAACAAGTATCTATTGAATATCTTCTATGGGTCAGGTAGTGTTTTTCTTCGCTGTTCAGGAACACAGTGGTGAAGAAGACACACCTCTGACCTCAGAGATTGTGAAGGAGACCAAAAACACCAAAAACAAAAACACAAACTTATTTTACAGTAAGGGAGCTCAAGATAAAGCACTTAACTCTAAACAAGCTCTTTCGTGCTTCGTCTCATGTCTTAATCTCCTCCAATGTGACTGCAAGCTCCTGGAAGGCGGGGACCACCTTTTATATGTGTGCATACCTCCTTGTATGGGAATGGCAAGTCCACAATAACCCATCACTAAACATTTGTTAATGGCTTGACTGACAAATACTGAAATGAAATGAGGTCGTGGAGGTACAAAGTGTATTGGCATTATTTTTGGCCCCCTGCAAAGGTTCTTGGTTGCCCATTTGTGCATTAAACAATCACCACCAACAAATAAGAATGTCATATGTACCATCTTATGCTTGGTAGGAGGAACAACAGGGCTTTGATTCCTTGACCCACAAGAGGTCTGTGGTGACTTGATTCTTCTCTGCTGGCTAGTGGCGCAATGGGTAAGAAGGGAGTTTGGCTCTGCCACTTATGAGCTATTACTTAACCTCTTGCGGACTCTGATTCCTCAACTTTGAGCAAGACTAGCATTCCCTTCCGCTTTACCCAGCACACGTTTTTGTTTTGTAACTAGTTCGGGTGCAGGGGAAGGTGGAGCACCCAGACTATCTATAAACTGATGGGATACAGCATGGCCTCTCCCTATGCTTCTGTTGTTTCACAGTCAATTCTCAATCTTTATGAGGTTTAAGTCCCAGTGAATTTTCCCCTCAAAAACCAAACAGGATAATGAACCACTTTCTTGCAGTTTCCATCAAGACAACTCTTTGTGAGTTCTAAATGTTCTGTCCAGATTCAAAGAAGCTGGTTTCTTCATGAGTGGTTGGAATAAGACTTTTCTTGGAAGCTACTGAATATGGATTAGTTGGATTGTTTCGCAGGAAATAAAAAGCAGGCTCTGGGGTGACTACTTCAGCACTTAATTGGGTTAGCAAAGAACTGCAAATGAGAGGTTTTCCTCAGGAGGGAAAAGATGTTTACGGCCCCCCACCCCTCTAGGTGGTGGATTTTAACCTAAACACTAGTCTTCAAATGCAGCCTTTAATTTAGGAACCATTATAAGAATCTATTAGAGCAGAAAATGTCAGGTTGAAAAATTAACACATCACAGGAGTTAATTAGAACCCAGCCTCTCATTAGATGCAAATGGAGAGCCCTCCAACTGCCCAACAGCCTGCTGGAGTCATGTTTGTTGCAGCTCCAAAGTGGCTGTTATCCTTACTTTCAGACAGTGGCCAGAGGAAGGTGCCCAGGCAGTCCTGCCAGAGCCACTAGGGGTCCCTGGCCTGCCTTTTAGGTTAACGGAATGTCCTATTCACGTGTCCCTTCTTCTACTCCTCTCCTAAACGCTCTGCATGTTACAGGGTGGACAGACCTCTGCCTGGAATTGCCTCAGGGACGTGTTTTCTGCAACAAAGACAAACATGCCATGCCTGTCACTGGGAGCAGACTGGTGACTGTGTAAACCACTCTGAGACAGGGAGGCTGAGGGGCTCCAGGCCATTCAGACTTAGCTCTGAGTTGTGGTCTTTGTTTTCTTTCCACATTCAGACTGAAATGTGATTCCTCTGGCTTTCTTTTTTGGAAAATACCTGCAATGAGTTCCATGCCGGAAAAGAAAAGCTGTTGACAGGAAAAGCTTCTGATGGGGAAGGGGCTTCTTCAAGTGTTCTCAAAGGAGACAGGGGCTTCAAGCAAGCTGAGGCAGGGATGCCAGGGCTGGGAACAAGAGGTCCAGATCACAAAAGGGTCTTCTTTAACTAAGGATTAGGCTGAGTGTCAAGCAGTTTCCTCTGTGAGAGCAATACCACGCAGAGACTTTTGGGCCAGGCAGACATGCATCTGAGCCCTTCCCTGTCACTTACTGTGTGATCCTGGAGAAATTGCTTAACCTCTTAGAACATTAGTTTTCTCAAGCTCTTGCATGTGATAGATGAGATAATGCATGTAAAGCAGGTAAGACAGTAGCTGGCACAGAGGAAGGGTTCTATATGAGTTATTTGTTATTGATTTAATAATAGTATTCCTTCACTCAACACTAATGGTTTTCCCTCTGTGTGCCAGGCCCTGTGCAAGGGAAAGCTCTTGCTCCTTGACCTCATGGAGTTCACTGTTTAATAAACCATGTACACATATGTTTAGCACAAAGCAAGCCCCCCTCCCCTCCTCGCAAGTGCCCTGGGAGAAGAGCCCACTGCACATTAACTCTGCTTTGTTGAGTAGCTCAGAATCCTACAGGTCATCCCCTTGGAGCCGCCCTCCAAACCCAGCTACCTCTACCTTCAATTTATCCACAATTCTCTGTGCACTTATCACATTCAGTTCCAGTTGTGTGTTTCTTCTTTGTCTCCTGTGAGTTCCTAGAGGGTGAGGATCATCTATTCACTTGATTCAGTCATCTAATCATTTATTTATCTTTGTAGGCCAATAGTCTCATGCATTACTCAGCACAGGCATACAGAAGATTCACCCCTACTGCTGAGTATGTAGATTTCCAGCTGGGAACTTTTCTGGTGAAATAACCCTGCCCCCATCTTTGAAAGGCCTCCTTTGGGCCCTGGTTTGGTTGGTCTTTCATTTTCTAAGTATCACTATGGCTCAAGCCTCAGTTTCTTCATCTCTTTAAGGGGCTAATAGAGCTTCTTTTCCTGGGAGGTTATGATGATGGCTGGAGACAACGCAGCTTCTATGTGCCCAACACAGTTCTAGGCACAGAGCAAAATTACCAAAAAAAGTTGATTCCATTCTTGCCCTCAGCCAAGTCCAGCTGCCAATATAAGAAAACTAAAAATACAAGACACATATAAGCACTACATGAGTGGTGCAGACATCCTTCTAACTTGTATCCAGCCTTTGCCTTATGCCAGACTTGGCTGACACGGGAGGATACAAACATGCATAATAACTTGGTCCCTGTCTCCAAGCCCCAGGAAAACAGTGGCAAGTGTTGGACAAAAAGATCTCAGAAGAGAGTAGAAAGCTCTTTACCCAGATCCTCAGACCTGGGCTGCAGGAGATTGGAAAGCAGGAAAGCAGGAGGTTGTCCCAGAACAACAACAATATCCAAGTTATTGAGCACTTACTGTGTGTCAGACACTCTGCTAAATGATTTACTGGCATTATCTCACTTAACTCTTAGGCCAACTGTGTTGGGCAGTCATACACTTCCTTATTTTACAGATGGCCAATTTGAGGCTGAGAGAGGCACAGTAGCTTGACCACAGTCAAGCAACAAGTAAATAGCTTAGGAATCCACCTGTCGAGGGTTTCACTGGCCCAACTGGAAAGCGGAGAGGGCACACTGGCACAAAGCTCCGTCCGAGGGGTGGGGGTGGGGGAGAGGGCTGGGAATGAGAGAGGCGCGAGTTGGAACAAAACACGGGTCGCAGGATCCCCAGATCCCCAAAACCCTAAGCAGAAGCAGAATAAGTTAGAAAAAGATGCAGGCTGCAGGGGAGGGTTGCCTGGGGGCCGGGGGAGGGGAGCCCCGGCGGTTATGCGCCTTCTTCGCCCCCGGTGCACAGGTCAAGCCTCTCCCCTCCCGCCCTCTCACCCTCCCAACCTTATTTAGAAACCGTGTCCCCGAGACAGGAAGGGCGGCGGGCCGAGAAGCACGGAGCGTCCCGGTCTCATTTCCTCTCGAATCCCCCTGTGGAATTTCATTTCATACGGTGAGGAAATCGGAGCGCGAGACCGTCGGCTGCTCGGCTGCTCCGGGGCGCCTCCCCCACTCGCGGCTGGAGACCTGCAGCTCCCGGGCGCAGGTCGGGCCGAGTCTGGGGGCGGGAAGAGGGGGCCGGGCTCCAACCCTAGCAAGTTAGGAGTGAAAATAGCTGCGAGCTCGCGCGGTACCAGGCACCGTGCTCAGCGTTTTGCGCATTATCTCTAATCCTCCCAAGTCACTTTACGGGTGAGGAAACTGACGCCGAGAGGTTGAGCAAATTGCTCAAAGTCACACAGCCGGGATTTAAAGCCACAATCTTTGTCAATCCAAATCCAGTGTTCTTTGTGTAGGATAGGGATAGGGAGGTGGCCACGGGCCCAGGTGACAGCTGGAAAACGGAAAGGGAAGGAAGCCGACTGATCTGGGAGCACTTCTCACCTGAAAGAGGAGGGCGCAAGCTACCTTGGCCGGAGCGACTGGGCTCTATCCCAGCGCGGCCCCTGAGCGCCGCGAACCCGCTGGGAGGAAAGTGAGAGCCGGGAAGCGGGGCGGGGCGCTCCGGGGAGAGGGGGGGGAACGAAGGGGGGGGGCCGGCGGGTGGCGGCCTGACCCTTCCAGCGGCGGAGCGGCCCCGCCCCTCGCTGCCCACGGTGCCCGGCCATTGGAGGGGCGCGCTGTCCGTCCCGCCCCGCCGCCGCCCAGCGAACCTCCAGCGCCGCGGAGGGCTCGGGCGGTGAGAGCGGTGCGGCGCTGGGTGCTGGCGGGTTCCGCCGAGACGCCGAGCGGACGCAGCTTGCGCTGGGTTGGGGCTCGCCGCTTGCAGCCATGACCCTCGTAGTCTGTCCGTCGGCCCCGGCCCGGGGCGTCTAATATCCCACACAGACGCGCGCAGCTGCCGGAGAGCCGGCCGCTGCCCCCTCGTCGCCCTTGGTGCCTTATCACACTCCCCTTCCCGGAGCTGGGAGCAGCGCGGGCAGCCGACGCCCCCGTGCAAACTGGGGGTGTCTGCTGGAGCAGCCCCCGCCGCCGCCGCTGCTGCCCCCGGCTCTGGCCATGGCCTGGCGGGGCGCGGGGTCGAGCGTCCCGGGGGCGCCCGGGGGCGTCGGTCTCAGTCTGCGGCTGCTGCTGCTGTTGCTGCTACTCCTGGGGCCGGCGCGGGGCTTCGGGGACGAGGAGGAGCGGCGCTGCGACCCCATCCGCATCTCCATGTGCCAGAACCTGGGCTACAACGTGACCAAGATGCCCAACCTGGTGGGGCACGAGCTGCAGACGGACGCCGAGCTGCAGCTGACAACGTTCACGCCTCTCATCCAGTACGGCTGCTCCAGCCAGCTGCAGGTGGGCACCCCACCCCCACCCCTGGCGGGACCCCCTGGGCAGGGACGCCCCAAACTAACTCCGTGGAGGCCTTGCCAAGTCGAGCCCTTTGCCCCCTTCCTAGACTAAAGGGTAAAACTATCCTGGAAAAGTGATTTCCATCCCCACCCCCACTTTTCAGTCCTTTCTCAGGGACTGGAAGCCAAAACGTTGTGTAAGTCGTCTGGCCTGCGAAAGAACCCACTCGTACACCCGCCCTTCCGTTTTCTCCCCTGCCCACCCTTGTCTGGCCAAGCCCCTAACCCCAGTGGACCTGAGGGTTATCTTTGCCAAGGATTCTGGCCGCCGCCGCTCGGTGGGCGAGTTCCCGGCAGGGCAGCCAGCTGCAGCTAAGACTTGGAAGGAGAGATAAGGAGACGAGAACTCCTCCTCCCTCACCGTCCTCCCTTCTCTTCCATATTTTTGGGTGGGTTATTAAATGAAACACCACTGCCCGGTTGTCTGCCGAATGGCCCCTCCTGGCGTCATCCTGCATGATTTTAGAGGTCATGCAGAAAGCAATGGTTGAGTTGGCTTGAGTTCGTTCTTATCCTCAGGGTTGAGGGCAGGTTTTGTTACTTGGAGGGGGAGACAACTCAGCTTGGGAAAAAGGTAATGTTTATGGACAAGCTTCAGGAAGGTAGTTTGTGTATTGGGAAGTTGTTTTTTTTTGCAGTCATTAAAAATTTTAAAGATTATGTAATGACATAGAAAATGTTCATCCTACAATAATAAGTGAAGAAACAATTTACATATACAGGGTGATTATAATCTTACAAAAACAACAACCAATTCATTAAAAAAAAAAAAGAACTGAAAGGAAATTTGAAAAGTTTAACACTGGTTGTGTTTTGGTTAGTGAAGGTAAGAGTGATTTTTAGAAATTTAGAAAAGAGAGGTTGGGAAAAAAATAGAGGGTAGTTGTCCAGGCTAAAAGCTTCAGAAATCCGTGGTTCTGGCTGTTAACTTCTGAAAGATAAGAAACAGGCAGGCAGCTTACTTACTAGGTGCATGTTTTTACACACGTCATTTTAAAAGTTGGATTGTGGTTTCAGAAAGATGGTTGGGATTAGACCTGTTGCTGGTGAACTCTCCCTTTGGAAGTTTCAGAACTTTAGAACTAGGTTATAAAAGCTTAAGAAATGATCCTCTAGCCCTCAGTTTGGAAACAGCACATATCCTGACATCAGTTGCAATTTCGTTGGAGAAACAGCCTTTGCAGGGATATATATTTTTAATTACATGTATCCTGGGGAACAGCCAAGCTGTTTTGAAGGACAGGACTGGATCCCTTTACATACTGGAAAATAGTTACTTGTAACTCTAGACTTCATAGACAACATCTGTAAGGAGCCAAGCAGACTGTTTATCAATGCTGGAGGAATTGAGGACAGCAACTGGACTCTCCCCTGCTGGTAGTGCAGTTTCAGGGACTTAACATTTATATTTTCCTGTTGTGCTTCATTGAGAAAACCTGGCCAAACAAGCCCTTGGTGACCGGAGACCTCAACCTGTCTCCCATCCTTGGGTCTAACAGTGTCTCAATTAGGACGTTTTCTGTTTCGTTATGGGACTGATTAAAAAATAATTTTAGGAGATAAAGTAGAGAATATTAACAGGAGAAAAGGTGGATCTACATTTTTTTTCTTATGGTGATAAAGAAATGGGGATAAAAAGAAATCACCTCATCACCGAAATGACTGAGTCACTTAATTAGTCTGTTCAGTTCTTCCAAATAGTAGCTGAAAGGGGAGGGTGACTCAAAGTCAGTTTTTTAGGTTTATTTCCTTAAGTGTTGTGCAGAAAGGTATTATGTAATTCTTCAGGTCCTTTTTATGCATTTATTTATTTATGTTCTCCTGGAAAGGATTACTAGAACCAAAAGAAGAAAAGTGTGTAAGTGATGGATTATTAGGCACCCTTGTTGGAGGTCACAGTAAACAGTCAGACTCTCCATAGGCTGGTTTAAAAGTAGATACGTACTTTGCCTGGAAGCGTTCAGCTCAGCTTTGTGCAAGTGTTTGGTCAGACGTCCAAGTCATTGTTTTCTTTGTTCATTTCATGACTTTTCCAGTTCTTCCTTTGTTCGGTTTATGTGCCAATGTGCACAGAGAAGATCAACATCCCCATCGGCCCGTGCGGCGGCATGTGTCTTTCAGTCAAGAGACGCTGTGAACCTGTCCTGAAGGAATTTGGATTTGCCTGGCCGGAGAGCCTGAACTGCAGCAAATTCCCGCCACAGAATGACCACAACCACATGTGCATGGAAGGGCCGGGTGACGAGGAGGTGCCGTTACCCCACAAAACCCCCATCCAGCCTGGGGAAGAGTGCCATTCCGTGGGAGCCAATTCTGATCAGTACATCTGGGTGAAAAGGAGCCTGAACTGCGTTCTCAAGTGTGGCTACGATGCTGGCTTGTACAGCCGCTCGGCCAAGGAGTTCACCGATATCTGGATGGCAGTGTGGGCCAGCCTGTGCTTCATCTCCACCGCCTTCACGGTGCTGACTTTCCTCATCGATTCTTCCAGGTTTTCCTACCCTGAGCGCCCCATCATATTTCTCAGTATGTGCTATAATATTTATAGCATTGCTTATATTGTCAGGCTGACTGTAGGCCGGGAAAGGATATCCTGCGATTTTGAAGAGGCAGCAGAACCTGTTCTCATCCAAGAAGGACTTAAGAACACAGGATGTGCAATCATTTTCTTGCTGATGTACTTTTTTGGAATGGCCAGTTCCATCTGGTGGGTTATTCTGACACTCACTTGGTTCTTGGCAGCCGGACTCAAATGGGGTCATGAAGCCATTGAAATGCACAGCTCTTATTTCCACATTGCAGCCTGGGCCATCCCTGCAGTGAAAACCATTGTCATCTTGATTATGAGACTAGTGGATGCTGATGAACTAACTGGCCTGTGCTATGTTGGGAACCAAAACCTTGATGCCCTCACGGGCTTTGTGGTGGCTCCTCTCTTCACTTACTTAGTAATCGGAACTTTGTTCATTGCTGCGGGTTTGGTGGCCTTGTTCAAAATTCGGTCAAATCTTCAAAAGGATGGGACAAAGACGGACAAGTTGGAAAGGCTGATGGTCAAGATTGGGGTCTTCTCAGTCCTGTACACAGTTCCTGCAACCTGTGTGATTGCCTGTTATTTCTACGAAATCTCCAACTGGGCTCTCTTCCGGTATTCTGCAGATGACTCCAATATGGCAGTTGAAATGTTGAAAATTTTTATGTCTTTGCTGGTGGGCATCACTTCGGGCATGTGGATTTGGTCTGCCAAAACTCTTCACACGTGGCAGAAGTGTTCCAACAGATTGGTGAATTCTGGGAAGGTAAAGAGAGAAAAGAGAGGGAATGGTTGGGTGAAGCCTGGGAAAGGCAATGAAACTGTAGTATAAGGCTAGCTAGCCTCCACGCCTTCCAAATTTTGAAGGGGGGGAATGGCAGCATTTCGGTGCAAATGCTACTTAAAGTTTCATGCAATGAATCTCAGTTTGAACAAACTAGCAACACTTAAGTGACCCCCGTAACCCACCACCACTCGCCCCCTCCTCACCAGCATCATAAAACTAATGATTTTGCTGCAGACTTTGGAATGATCCAAAATGGAAAAGCCAGTTAGAGGCTTTCAAAGCTGTGAAAAATCAAAACATTGATCACTTTAGCAGGTCGCAGCTTGGAGTGTGGAGGTCCTGCCTAGATTCCAGGAGGTCCAGGGCGATGCTGCTTTTCCTGCAGGGTGGGATTGGAGTTGTGAGTAGGTAACTTGCAGGGAGAAAGATTAACTTTTTTAACCCTTTAAAATTTTAAATACTAACTGGGTCTTTCAGATAGCAAAGCAATCTATAAACACTGGAAATGCTGGGTTCAGAGAAGTGTTACAAGAGTTTTATAGTTTGGCTGATCTAACATAAACATTTTCGGTGGTGCACTGTCTGCTGTTTAGAACTTCGTGGACTGCTCTCCCAAGAGGTGGTGTCAGAATCTTTCAGTGCCTTTGTCATAAAACAGAATTGTTTGAACAAACAAAAGTACTATACAAACACACATAAGGTATCCAGTGGGTTTTTCTTCTCTCTTTGCCTCTTAAATTTCAACATCTCTGTTCTAGGCTGCTGCTGTTTTCTTCATTTTACATTAATGACTCAAAATAGGTATTTTTATAGGAATTTTTGCACTGCAGCATGCCTCATGAGGGGAAAAGGAAGGGTGATTCACTTTCTGACAATCACTTAATTCAGAGGAAAATGAGATTTACCAAGTCGACTTACCTTACCGACCCCAGAGACCTATTGCATTGAGCAATGGGGACTTAATATATTTTACTTTGTGTGATTGCATCTGTGCAGACGCCAGTCTGGAAGAGCTAAAATGTTAAGTTTCTTGGCAACTTTGCATTCGCACAGATTAACTGTGTAATTCGTGTGTGTCAATTACAATTAAAAGCACATTCTTGGACCATGACATAAGAGTATACTCAACTGACTTTAAAACTATGGTCAACTTGCATTCTCAGAATGATAGTGTCTTTTTTTTCCTTTAGCGTAAGAATGTTATCAGAGTCTGGTCTACTTAGCACAATGGAGACTTTTTCAATTTTGTAGAGGGAACTGAGGACAGCTAATCCAACTACTTGGTGCATAATTGTTTCCTAGTAATTGGCAAAGGCTCCTTATAAGATTTCATTGGAGGCAGTGTGGCCTGGAGTATTTATATGGTGCTTAATGAATCTCCAGAATGCCAGCCAGGAGCTTGATTGGTTAGTAGGGAATAAAGTGTAGACCGTATGAAATGAACTGCAAACTCTAACAGCACAGGTCTTAATTGCCTTTTGCAGAGGTATCCAGAGCTTTTAAAATTTATGCTTTATGTTCCTCACAAGGGGGTACCCCCAGCAGCCTCTCAAAAGTTGGAGTTCTTTTAAAATTGTACCCTTTTTCTTAACCCGCCTTAGGCCTTCTAATCACCAGATCTCGAGGACAAATTGTTGACCGTGCCACAGGTTGCTCTCCCTGCAGCTCATACCTGTCTGTGCTTCGGCAGCTGCTTTGTAATGACTCATTTATTTATTTATTCATGCTCCCCACCCCCCACTCCCCACTTTTTCAAACAGGTAGGAAAGCTTTTATCACATTTGTTTGTGGAAAAACATTTCCAGGGACTCAAAATTCCAAATAGATGGTCAAATTCTGGAAATAAGCATGTCTGTTTTTTGTTTATTTGAGCTTTATGCCCATGGCTTGACATTTCCCTTCCTTCTTTCCTCTGTTTTTGCGTGGTTCTTGAGCTGTCTAAGATGAAGGTGCATGTAAGGTCTGTTGTGTGTCTTGGGGCTTTGGAGACAGACACAAAGTGGGCATGGGTGGCCCCTGCTGTGTGTGCTGAGCCTGAGTACCTTGGCTGGACTCTGGGTCAGCGCTTCAGGAGCATGAGAAACGGTCCCCAGCAGGGCCAGTTGAACTCCATCTGAGACTCCATCGCTATGAAATGTAACATGTGAACTCCTCGTGCCGCTTGCAGACAGTTCCCATAGCTGGCCAGGGCCCTGGAGCATGCACCCAGGGGCAGAGCCTGCCCTTACTCACGCTCCGCTTGAGTGTCTTGGGAGTTGTGCAGAGACTCTGGCCCAGGAAAGGGAGGAAAGACTGTGTAGCAGGGCGCTGGCCTTGCTGTTAGCGCGTAGGGGTTTGTAATGCAATTTTCTTTGTGATGTCTCAGTGATTGTGTGCCCAAGGCAGCACCTAGCAGAGGGCCGGGCACAGAGTAGGTGCTCAGTATTCGTGAATGATGAAACAACAATAATAACCATAAAAGGACTTGAGTGACCCTGGCCACCTGAGTCTGGAGCCGGCGCCCTGACCACTTTGTGGATTTTAACATGTCTCTTCCCCATCTCTTGCCTTCTCAGGGGAAAGTGTATTTGATCAGAAGTGGCCGTTGGTGCGGACTGGATTAGTAGCCTTAGCAATGTCACAGGGTTTGAGGCCTTTTCTTTCACATTCCGGACAATGGGGAGTATAATAAATTGTGGTTTCAGGAAAGAAGCCTTATGGCTGAGGAGTCAGTTACCAATTACCTTGAAGCAACTCCATCACCTCTTTAGTTGATATTTGTTTTAAGAAAAAAAAAAAGTTAATTATCGGCACATTTATTGAATGCCAACTGTTTGTAAAGCCCTGTGTCAGGTGTCTTAGGGAATGTCATGGAGGATGGGCTCTGTTCTTCTAACTCACCTAGACTGGGCATGCTCCTGGGTCGGCTGAACTTTGCTTTTCATTTTGGGAAACAGCAGGGGCCTCTGTTTCACTGTCTCCACCCCATAAACCTCTTCCTGGGTCTTGCTACCTTTAACACATCTTTCATCCCTTCCCAGGATTCCCTGCAAATCAATTACAGGGGATTTGACAGAAAGCATTAGCTCTGTTTCTTGACATTCTCCTTGGAAATCTCCTAGGAAGACTATGAAAATTGGCTGTAAGGGTGTGAGCTCCTACGTCTAATATGACTTTGGGGGCAGGCATTTCGGGGCTTGGGGTGTTCCATGTGACTTGTACAGATGAATTCGCAGACAGCATCTTGCTAGGGAAAAGGTTAGGATTGTTTTTCTTTCTGTGAAATCTAGAATAAGTAGGTATGACGTAGCTTCCTACGAAATCCCTTGGCCTCCAGAGATTTTATTCAACAGGGCCCATGAATACCTCTGTCCAGTCTCCTCTCTGGCACACTCCTTTCTGCTCCTTCATAAAAGCTACAGCTCAAGGTGGAGGAACATGGGGCAGGGTGGAAGTGGCCTGAACTGTCTGGTTAGGCTATTTGGTTGATTCATATCCTTTTTCCTCTATGGAGACCCGTTTCCTGATCTCTGAGACGGCTTCTGAGCTGGCAGCTTGCTCAGGGACCTGAAACCGGAGAAGGGGTGACACTTTTTATTTTCCTGAAATGCTGTCTGACTTTCCCTTCCCCGGTCACTCCGTCACCTGCACCCCCAAACCCGGAATCTGGGAAACTTCCGTATCTAAGTTCTGAATTGTGACTTTACCAGCATCCCCAGCTCTGTCCTCGCTGGTCCCCCTCACCTTTCTGGTCACTGAATTCAGTGCTTACTGTGTTGAGAACCAAGCTGGGACCTGAGGAGGCAAAGAGGAACTCGACAGTCTCAGCCCTGGAGGGCAGACTCAATTTAAGGGGATTTCACCAGGGTGGTGCAGTCTTTGGCGTCTGGTGAGGTGGCTACAGCAGCAGTTAGGGAAGAGAGCCCCAGAGCACAGGAAGGAGCCCCCAGAATCGATCTACATCCTGAATTTCATTCTGTGATGGAGGAGATTGGAGAGAGTTGCTATTCTAGCCAATTATGTCGAGTCACTGGACTCTGACAGCTCTTTTTGTTCCTTTATTGTATTTCGGTTCAGAGTCTCCGTCTGGGTTTGTATTATGTCTGGCAGAGGACCCAGGTTATCATTTTTCCTCTGGGCCTAGGTCATAGATCTTGGAAACTCCTACAAGAGCATTTTGCTCCTACCCAGGATCAGATACCAGAGCCTTAAATAATGGATTTTGTTTCACTGTGGGCTGGTCAGGGCTCTGCTGCTGCCTCTCACCATGCACGTGTGCAGTGATGGCCCGCTGGACGTCACCAGGAGGGAAGTAGCCCCGGATCCCCCGGCAGGCCTCTTCCTCTTGGTAAGCCCCATTGCCCGATAGTAGCCTGTTTCTGTTTCTGATTCACCTTATTTCCCTCCTTCTTTGTACCCGCAAATTCCCAGTATTCACCCAGGCAGTTTGTAGAGGACCTGTTTGGGGTCCGGTATGAGTCGTGTCCTCCAAGCTTTTGTAGCTTCCTGATCTGCTATAATATTCCATACATGACCACTGTCATCCCAGAAGGCCTCTGAGAAGAGGCAGGAGCAGCTCACTCCTGAAGACTGGGTCCATCTTCTCTCCCATCCTGCTGGTGGCCTCAGGCCCCAGTTTGGCCGTGGGCTCTGGGAGGGGAGGCTGCTTTCTAGGACTCTCCCACCATGGCATCTAGGTGGTTCTGAATTTTTTCCTACCTCACAGGGATGGTATGAGACTTTAGAAGGTCTGAGGATGAAGGCCCTTGAGCTCTTTGTAGGGAAGGTGGAATATATATCGGGTGTGATCTGTGAAAAGCTGAAATGTGACTCAGCCTGCTCATGCAGCACTCAGGCTAGTGCTCTGCGGCCTTTCTTTGAATCCCCCTGCCACCCCGCCACCCCAGCCAGCTTGAGACCGACCTGGGGGACTTTCAGATGTTTGACATAGAGGTACCAGGTAAACCCCTGCTACACACACCCGGAGCAAGTTGCTGAACATCGAAGGAAACGGACCCTGCTTTTAAGGATGTACAAACGTATGTCTGCATCCATGTCTGTACTGTAAATTTCTAATTTATCACTGTACAAAAAAATAAACT